GTGTCAATATAACTTCATTTAAATATCAAACAAAAGTCATTTCCACACGTTGTATCAAACACATAGAGTTGATACCGGACTTCAGTTTGGACTCTGGTACTTGAATTATGTAATGAAGGCTCATATTTCATGTTTATTGAGGCCTCTGTTGGTCAAAGTGCTCTCATAGATCAGAGGATCATTTCTACTCTGTTAATTAATAACTGAATCAACTCAATAACAATGTTTTATTATAAATATTATTATAAATGAAATAACCAGTCTATGATAGGCTGACCAAACATCCGGACATGTCCACTTTTCACGTCCTGTCCGGGGCGTCCAGGGGGTGTTTATAAATTGATGATAATGTCTGGTTTTACTTGTGTGTGTGTGTGTGTGTGTGTGCGTAATCCCTGAGAGGCTGCCTTATCGGCGGATCTCCAACACTCACAACGAGGAAGCAGCAGACACCGGCGGCGCAGCATTATTCTCTGCTTCCAAGATGCCGAAGCGCAAGTGCCGCTTCACAGATGAACTGCAGAAAAAATTCCCAACTTACCGTCCCGACCCGGTCGGGATATATTGGAGGCTGAGTGCACCGTGTGCAAAGCTGGCACATATGATTCTGTGTCTAATAAAGGTGCCAGGGAGCTCAAAGTTGGATTTTCTAATAGGAAGAGGTATTATTTAGAACATTATTAAGACTTGAAAAGATAGCTATTATTTTACATGTTGATTTTTCTAATACAGAAGAGACATTATTTCTATTATTATTTAATTCCAGAGAGTTTACATTTATTTTACATTTATATTTATTTTTGTAGAATTGAAAAAAGATGATTATTTTAGGCATAATAAAAGCAAGTTGAGTAACCTCTGAGAAGCCTATCTATGTCTTTGAGAGATATTATTTTGTAATATAACTGAATTTTCTATCCATACATATAAACTTTAAATATATTAAAATTATAAGGCATCTTTGAGTAAACTGCGAGTATCATTGAAGTAGGCTATATCGTGGCCGGGCCGAGTGTCCTCTTTTTTGGAAATCAAAATATGGTCACCCTATCAGAAGGAAGGACCACTGTAGTTACTTTACATGATCTGAGCTTTGAACTCTGATAATCTGGATTTGTGTGTTATCTGCAGTCACAGAAACAAAAGTTTTCAAAGTGAATGCAACAGAAACAAATGAGAGCATCTGTGAGTGTGAGGACGATCAGCCCACGGTTTCATGTCAGAATAATATGAGCCATGTTCACACTTTATTCTATGTTGCTATGCTATGCTCATATTTAAAGCAAAAAAAACCTATTTACTACCAGAAAAAATATTCAAAAAATATTCATTGAAAGGCAGGGGGGTTATAACTTCAGGGGAAAATTAAACTTCAAGACAAGTTTTTGTATTTCTGTCTGTGGATTTAAACTATGACAGCGTTTGAATGTGGAGCTCAAGAAATGTCCAAACATGAAGCAGTTTAAAGAGAGATTATCATAAGGTACAAGAATGAAGAAGGTGTTTGACTATCAGCAGGTGTTTACTCATTTATTTATTTACCATCAGTTTTGTTTATTTATTTATTTTTCTTAGTTTAATAGTTTATATGTTTAAGAAGGGACAGTGTACATCAATAAACATTCCTTTTAAAGATAAGAAAAAAGAAAATGCAGATGCACCCAACTGCAGCCAGGGGCTGATTTACATTGGTAGTGCTCCTGCCAGATGTTTATCAGCATAGTTCCTAAAAAGTAATAAAAAATCAATACAGTACACATAGAATATGCAATTACAATATAAGATACATTAAAACACATTACAATCTTATCGTCGCAGTATAGAGTCAGACAGCGACACATAACAGAAGTATTGCACGCATCATGTTGCCTCCAGTGCCTTAAGCATGTGTAAGCTTTATGTCTTGTTTCTGGATGCAACCAAGTAATAAGCAGATGGGGGAGAGGTATGGAGATATATTTGTGTCTTTATTACATGTGAGAATATAAATGATATGAGAGGGAAAAAAATGTTTGAGAGAAAAAGTTTTCACACTGATAGCAAAAAATAATAATATTTGACAGTAGAAAAAGTTTTGAGAGAAAGCATTTTGTCATAGAATATAAAAAAAATAATCTGAGATTTAAAAAATGATTTCCAAGGGAAAAAAACTCTGAAAAACCTTTTTTTTACTCTCAAATATTATTTTTTTGCTATCAGTGTGAAAACATTTTCTCTCAAAAATAAAAATGTTTCTCTCAAAACATTTTTCTTCTCGCTCTCAAAAGTCTTTGCTCTGGTGTCAGGATTTTGCTCTCACTGTGAAAATAATGTCATGGGCGGGGCCACGTTCCTATTGGCCAGTCTCAATCGAATTGACAGCCGGGTGAGGATCGTCTTGGGTGTCACATTCAACTGAATCATTCATCCACCATGGTGGATTCACCGGCATAGATGTGCTGCGTTATTTGGGAGCGGATATGCATACATTAACGTTATGCATGTGTGGCCAAATGGAGAGGAGAGGGAAATGAACCGACAACACCACCTGGGGAATTGCACCCCAGGGAATACACTCAAACCTGTAGACTACTCTTAACAACAGAAGGTCACACAGATTCGTACACTGGTAAATATGGGGACAGGAGATGGACTTCCAAATCTAACAACAAATTTTATTAGTTAAAAGTTTATGGTAGTTAAAAGAACACAAAGGGGACAAAATATTCTGCCTGAGTAGCAAAATAAATACCACTGTTGCTTGTGGTGGAAAAATATACAAATAAATGGCCGGAATAGGGCTTGCTTGGCTCGGGCGAACAGACTCAAATAAAAGTAAAGGGACAACTCAAACCAAAGAATACTCACTGCAAACCAAACCACCATGTGCCACGCCACATTAAAGGGAGTGAGGGGGGACACCACCACCAGGGAAGACTGCCGCTGTTTGCAAAAGCTCCTGTCCTGAAAAGAAAGAAAGAACATTAACAAAATGGTGGGCACTCAGGCCAATGTATACAGTCCAGATAATTTCTAAAAACTACTACAAACACGCACCCACCCACCCACACACACACACACACACACACACACACACATAAGGAATTAACCTAATTAATTGGATAACAAACTAAATAGTATGAAACTAATGCAACAATATATTAATGCAGAAAACAAACAAACTTAACGCCAAAACTCAGCTGTGGGCGGGGACCAGGAGTATAAGTAAGCCCACTAACAGATGACCCAACAGCTGAGTATTAAACCAAAATCAAAAGAATATCACAAATAACCTAACCAAATAAACAAATGAAAGAAAATAACACCAAATAACCCAAGAAATTAGTTAACTGAATTAAATGAATTAATTAAGAGACAAAAGAAATTAATCAAACCAAAATGAAGTCGTGGTGGGATGGAGGTCCAAAGCTGCATCAATGCACAGCTGCATTACAGTGTGCTTTAATCAGTCTGTGGAAAACTGGCAGAACAGCAGTGGAAAACGGAGCAGCCGCACCGGGGCTGGAGGCCTTCGGGATGCCCAGCTGGCGGCCCACGTCACCGGGCTGCGGAGTGCAGCCCCACACAGTGCGCAGAGGAGGAGAAGAAGCCACAAGCTGTGGCCTCGGCTACAGCAGGACAGAGAGCAGGACAACCTGTTAACATAAAGTTAACACAACTAGCAGAAGTAGAAATAAAAAAACAGAGCGAGCTTACCGGAGCGAAGGGAGCTTAACGCACAGCGCACAGCTCAAACCCAGTCACCGTCTCACAGTGAGGAAGAGCAGACACCACGCTTTTCAAAGTCCCCTCCGAAGCTACACACGACAGGAACGGCCGACGCCGCTGTAAAGCGAAGAGTCACGGCAGCTGTGACACCATAATACGCTTTAACAGTACACAAACATTGCAGCACCCATGCCTACCTTATGAGTCCCAAGTTTGGGTACAGAAACCGGAGCACGACACACACAAAGCACGCCACACACAGCCCTCGCCAGGTAAACGCCAGGTACAAGTGAGCGCGCCCGTGAGGGGAAGACGAGACCAAATAACGCAGGTGCCACCACTGCACAATTAGGCTCCGACAACTGGAAATTAGACCCAGCTGATGCCAGTTAAGGGCGGAGGTGTAGCAGCGCTCACCCAGCCACACATGGGATGTTGGAAGAGAAAAGCACCGTAGTAAAGTAACGTTAATGGGATAACCTAGCTAGATGTAAAGTTAACACTAGCTGGCTAGTGCAGTTAATAACACAATCTCGGTAAAATGACGTTAGGTGAGAAAAGGGATTCATTATAGGAATGATTTTGATAACCAACTTGCTCAGCTAGCTACCCATCAATTGTGTGTCACCATCTTACCCAAACATTGGAGTCTCCGCTCCCAAATAACGCAGCGTACCTGTGCCGGTGAATCCACCATGGTGGATGAATGATTCAGCTGAATTCAACTCCCAAGACGATCCTCACCCAGCTGTCAATTAAATTGAGACTGGCCAATAGGAACGTGGCCCCGCCCATGACATTATTTTCACAGTGAGCGCAAAATCCTGACACCAGAGCAAAGACTTAGGTTTTGAGAGCGAGAAGAAAAATGTTTTGAGAGAAACATTTTTATTTTTGAGAGAAAATGTTTTCATACTGATAGCAAAAAATAATATTTGAGAGTAAAAAAAAGGTTTTTCAGAGTTTTTTTTTCCTTGGAAATCATTTTTTAAATCTCAGATTATTTTTTTTATATTCTATGACAAAATACTTTCTCTCAAAACTTTTTCTACTCTCAAATATTATTATTTTTTGCTATCAGTGTGAAAACTTTTTCTCTCAAACATTTTTTTTCCCTCTCATATCATTTATATTCTCACATGTAATAAAGACACAAATATATCTCCATAGAGGAACAGGGACTGTTTGGGGGTGTGTAGATGGAGTGTAAAACTGCAGCAATGCAAAGTCCAGTTCATACTTCTTGTTGTAGTTGTGATTAATTGGTTGTAGGAGTCAGTTATATTGTAAAGTGCGTGGTAACTTAAACACAGAAAGAAGGAGAGAAAGAACCATAGAATAAAATAAGAGAAAAAGGAGAAGAAGAAAAAATGACATATGTTGTACATCAACTCATTAACTGTGGTTACAAATTTGTGTACTTTTTAGCCACTTCTTCAGATTTGTTTTGAAAGTGGCATATGTATAACAGCCCCGTATCATAGATGGTGTACTATTCCAGATGTGGCTACCTGCAAACGAAAGTACTGACTGCCCACACGAGGTACGCCTGAGCGGAATTACACAGTCCCCTCGTGTGGTGGCCCTGGTCGTGTAGCTGATGTTTCCATTCTGCTTAACATAAGCAGACATTGGGGGCGGTGCTAAACCTTTCAAGATTTTATATATTGCGCAGGCATACTTGAACTTTGTGAAATTATCAAAAGTAAGAAGATTATATTTCTGGAGTATGTGGCAGTGGTGATATGATACAGGTTTTTTGTCCAATATTTTGAGCGGTCTTTTGTACAGAGAATCGGTCTGAGTAAGTGCAGCTTTAGAAGTGAACGACCAGTTAGTGAATCCATATTCGATGTAAGAAAAGACCATTGCATGCATAAACACCCTAGCTGACACTGTTGTCAAAGATGGCCTAATTAATTTGAAATTGGAGAGGTTGAATTTGATTGTTCTCTAGATCTTTTTAATGTGGCTCTTGAAGGTGAGGGTTGAATCCAGGGTGACCCCTAGATACTTGAACTCATTAACCAGTTCAAGCTCCTGTCCTCCTAGGAAGACACCAGAGTGTGTAAGATCCTTTCGTTTTTTAGAAAAATACATGCAGACAGTTTTTTTGTATTTAACAAGAGACATGATTTTTTGAGCCATTCGTGAATGTGAGTCAATTCCATTGTGAGTATGTGGGCAGCCTCTTGAGTAGTTTTTGCTATGTACGTGTGAGTGTGTGTACTTACAGTACATATAGTTTGTGTATATACATAGTTTGACAAAGCAAACATATGTCATGATTGGAGATGAGATTATTTTTTGAATAAGGTATAGATATATAAATTTATATTTTCTAATTATTTAAATCGTGCTGTAAGACAAATATTATTGGTTATTAATTTAATATATTAGAATAGGTCTAGGAGAATTAATTATTGTACAGCTTTATACTGATGGGGAGCTA